GGGAAGTGAGATCTCCCAACCAGTGAGATCCTTTGTGCAGGGTGGCCAAAAACAAACAAACAGAAAAGATTAAAAAGAAAAGTTTTAAAACTCTTAAAACACAAATAAATAATCCACTTTGTGGCATTGGTGGGAGGATTAAATGAGTCGATGCTTGTAGATTACCTACAACAGTACCTAGTACCCAGAAAGGCTCCACTCAATATGGGCTAATATTAGTATTTATGCAGGGGGACTGGGAATAAATGAGTCAACATGTCCACCTTGCTTCCTCCTCCCCATAGTGGCACTCTTGCACCTTGATCGCCCCTGTTTCTTCCACAATGAACCCCCAGGGAGGCACTGCTCCCCTCTGAGGCTCTGGCCCAGCTCTGAAGGCAAATCATGTTTTGAGGGCTATGGGAGAAGGGATTTCTGAATTAAGGCTTAATATGGGAGGCTGTTTCCTCATCCCACTAAACCAGAGCGTTCCTGGGCACCACGGACAAGTGTTGTTGGAGCAGCCTGCACTGTTTGGTGGCATCTCCTTTCCTTCCCTTTATCGAGGTAGCCAGATTTTCATTGTCTGTAGGCAGCGCTTCCCTGGGGAATGTTCTGGAAGAGGGTGTGGCTGGGAGTTGTGCAGGACCAAGAGGGCAGCTGGTGGTGGCACTGACTTCAGGCCCTCTGTGGGTCAGCAGGAAGGGTAGGACGAGGGGAATCCCTCCAGGCCTCTTGCATCCTAAGCAAGGGTCTCTTTGCTTCCACAGAAAAGGGCATATTGTACAGCTTGTGAGCCTGCGAGAAAGTACAAGGTGAGGACATAAACCCAGGCCCATCTCCTTGGGATGTCTTGAAAGGATCCTTGCTTGCTCCCCAGAGATACCTCCAACCCCCAATCCAGCCTCCTGGAAGGGAGGGATGAAAGTAGCGATGGATGGGGGTGAAATGCCAGAGGTGTCGCCAAAGGCCTGGTTGGGGGACTAAGCACCCATCAGTGCTGGGGTGCAGTCTCCAGCTCCTGTTATCCATGCCTCCCCTTTGCCAAAGACGCTGCCCCCCATCAAGAACCAGCAGGATCTCAACCAGCCGACCAGCTGGAACCTCAAGATGGTGAAGGAGGAGACGTGCTGGCCATGCCCCCAGCCGCCGTCACCAGGCATGCTCTGCCTAGGCCTCACTGCCCATGCCCATGCCACCGATGACTTCCTGGCCAGCTACTTCTCTGACTTTCCCCGCCACTTCTTGCACTGGTGAACTCTCAGGGAGGAAGGGAGGGGTCTCCTTTCTCTGCTCTCTGCATCGCCCCTCCCCCACACACTCCAGAACAGGGGCTACCCAGATCTAACCCTTGCTGAGGGCTTGGGGCACATGCGGCCATCAGCAGGACTACTGGGGCCCTGGTGGGCCCAAGATGCCCCCATTACTGTCAGGCCCTTACAAGGAGGGCATAGAGCCAGAGTCCCCTGGGGAACCCACCTAGGCCTCCCTGCCTCCCCTCCTCCCTTCCCTTTCCACCTTGGAGCATCTCCAAGTCCTATGCTGACTCTGAGTTGGACTTAATTCCCAAAATGCAGCAGCATTTTGTTTGGGTTAAGACTAGAGGCTGCTGCAAGCTCACCTATGTCCTCATGACCAGGCAGCCACCATCACTGCTCATGCCCCTGACCCCAGCATGGTGGCTTGCCCAGGCCACTCAGAGTGCTACGGCCTGCCCCCCAGGGAGCTGCCAAAGAGGATGTGCCCCAAGGTGGAGTCGGAGGCTGGTAAGGAAGAATCCCCTGACAAGTGGGCCTGTGTCTCCAAGCAGGAGAAGCAGCTTCTGATTGACTGCCTCTCTGCCATCATCAGGTGAGCACCCTCCCCAAAACCCTCACCCCTCTGTCTTCCTTGTGAGTTCGGTCAACTCTGGGTCCACCCAAAGCCCTGCATGTCCCAGCCCTTCCTTTCCTAAAAGATAGAACTTCACAAGATCCTTCCACGGGTTACTCCAGGCTCTCCTGGAGTGTGACCTGGCTGGAGGGATCCTCAGGGCTGGGTCCCAAGTTCTGCCTTGTTGCAGCTGGTAGATGGGGTCTGGAGCTAGGTCACTGTTTTCCAAGGCTCCTACCCTCATCTGGATACCTCTGACCTCCTGGCTCTTCCACTATCATATAATGATCACCTTTAAGAATCCGAGGGGGAGGGGGACCAGAGATGTCTTTTTCTAAAGAAGGAACGGCGGGAAGAGCAACTGATCAGCCCCCCACCAGCACCTGTTTGTGGCCACAGTAGTCAAGAACCACCCCTCGGGGAACCCTGAAACCAGAATCCCCCACAGAGGGCTGCAAGGCCTCTCAGTGAGGACCTTCTCCTCCTCTGCCCACCCAGGGGCCTGCTGGAAGACAAGCTCTTCCATGAGGCTGTGGGCCAAAACCTGGTGGAACAAATGCCTTACTTCTGCCAGTTCTGGAATGAGCAGTCGGCCAGGTTCATGGCCCACAACAGCAGCCTGCATGTGGTACCAGCCCTGTCTCAGTCCTCCAAGAGCTCGGAGTTCAGCAAAGACGAGGAGGAGGAGGAGGAGGAGGAGGACAAACGGAGGCTGGGGAGTAAGGAGGGGGAAGAAGAGGAGGAGAAGGAGGAAGAAGAGGAGGAGCTGGAGGAGGAGGAAGAGCAGGAGGAGGAGGAGACGGAAGAGGAGGAGGAGACGGGCGAGGAGGAGCTACGGGAGCAGGAGGGGGAAGACAAGGGGGAGAAGCTGCCCTGGACAGAGATGAAGCCCTTGCTGCAGCCCACATCCCAGGAGTCCCTGAAATGGCAGTGGCAGCAGCAGATGAAGGCCTTACTGAAGGAGAGGCAAGAGCAGGATGAGAAGGAGGCCATCAGCCGGTGAGCAGCCAGGCCCAGGAGAGGGTTGGGGGGGGCGGGGCACTGAGTGCAGAAGGGTCCTAGGAGGCAGTGGTGTGCTGGGTCTCTAACTGTGTCAGCTTCTCTTTCCAACTCCGCTGTTCATTGACAGCGCTGCTAGAAGCTTAAGGCCTCAGGGGCGCTATGTACAGAATGGCGATTTGAGCTTTAGTTTTTCTTCTCCAAGAGCAGACTATTAACATCTACCATCACACCACTTGCAGCAGGGTGATTATAGTCGTCAAAGCCACTTAAGTGACTTTCTAGAGCCAGGAGCAAAGTACCACCTCTTCTTGCACTGCCGTTTCCTGGGGCTGCTCTGTGGCTTTCTGTCCACGGTGTGATTCCCTAGGAGCTCCTTCTGTGCGGTCTCATGGCTCAGAACTTTCCCCCAGCCCTGGTCTTGGGATGGGAACCCGGATTGTCTGAGTTCAAATCCCTCTCCGGTACCAACAGCATGACATTTAGCACCTTGGTCTCTTTGAGTCATGGTTTGAACGTCTGTAAAATTGGGACAAGAATGTTTCATAGTGTTGGGAGGGCGGGGAGTTAAGTGAGAATCCACCTAAAGCTCGGGGCAAACGGTACAGCACAGAGGAGGCCAGCGGATAAGCCCAACGCAAGTCGGTGGCGGCGCTGACCCCGGCATGCCCGCCTCCCTCCGCGCAGGCTCCCGGCTTTCGCTATCCTGCAGGAGGCGCTGCTGGAGAACATGATCCAGAACATCCTGGTGGAGGCGAGCCGCGGGGAGGTGGTGCTCACCTCCCGACCACGCATCATCGCCCTGCCGCCGCTCAGCGTTCCCAGGTGGGGGCGCCGGGGCCAGCGGCCGCTGGAGGGCGCGAGGGGCGGCAGGGGAGGGCGGGGGCGCCGGGAAGCTTCTCCTCCATTCCCCCTACCTGGGGCTTTCTGTCTTCCAGGATTCTGAGTCCCGAGTCGCTGCCGGCAGCGGCCCCGGGGCCGCAGCAAGCGGAGATGCCCGGCTCGTTTGAACCGCCCCCCACCGACTGTTTGCAGACGCAAGCGCCCACCCCCTCCGACTTGCATCTGTAGATTCTTCCCGGCCTTTTCTCCATCACCCCCCAGTAAAGCATCTAGCTCCCCCCACACACACACACACACATCTGCCTTGACTTTATTTCCTCGTAAGCGACAAGAATTCGCGCGCAGTCTGAGAGGCACAGACGGTGGAAGCGGACAAGGTGGACCGCACTGACTCGGAGCCGGGAGGTTGTCTCCTCTTCACTCGGCAGCTGGGCGAGACTTCTGCGGTCTGGCCAGTGGAGGGCGCTCCGAGGGGTTTCTGGCCGGCTTTTACCCCAGCAGAGCCGTGTGGCCTGGTCTGCACAGCAGGTGGCCGCGGAGCAAAAGGGGCCATCCCTTCCCTTTCCCGGCCGCACCAGCTCCGAGGTTCGGCCTTTCCACTGCTAGCTTTTACTCAGCATCTGCGGGACTCCCGGGACTCTGCGGAGGTTGAGAGGAAGGGAAATCGAGGCACGTCGAGGAAGGTCAAGAATTTGACGCTGGGACGGGGACGGAGCGCATCACTAGGCCGCAGGCCACAGACCCTATTAAATGTGAATCCGAATCCCCCAGGCCAGGGGATGCCCCAGTTTCCCTAGGACACCCAACCTCCCGCTCCCCCTAACCTCCGCCTGGTAGCCTCTGTCCTCGGCTCCTCCCCACACCCTCCCTGAGGCAGGTGGGTGGAAAAGTGACATCTGGTGTTGTTCCAGAGGCGCTCAGGTCCCTGACACCCCCCTCCACCCCCACCGCCAAGGCCTCGGAGGAGCTCCAGCCCCAAAGCCTAGGCGGGGGCGGGGAGAGGGGTGAGGGGGCGCTCCGCCTCCTCTGAGTCAATATTTGCCCCGAGCAAACGGGCGCCCGGACAGGTGCGAGTGTGTGTGTGTGTGTCTGTGTGCGCGCGCGCGTGTGTGTGTCTCTAGGGGCGGAGACTGGGTAGGCCGTATAAAGAGCGCTGAGCCGGGGCTCCCGCACAAGCTCCGCGGCGTGCGCTGGGGACCAAACCAAGCTGGGCCGGGCCGGGCCGGGTGGAGGGTGGCCAGGAAGGGAGGGGCGGGCCAGGTGCGCACCTGCAGTGGCCGCCACGGCCGCCGACGTGTCAGCCGCAGATGCGCGCAGGTGAGGGCGGCGGCCATCGAGCGCGGGACAGCCCGGCGCTCGCCGAAGACCAGGACCAGGAGACCGCCGAGGGCCACAGCCAGGCCCTGGACGCCCCGCTCCCGCCCCGCGACGAGCCCCTCGCACAAACCGGACCTGAGCGTTTTGTTCGTTCGGCTCGCGTGAGGCAGGGGCGGCCTCTCAGCACCCGCCCGGGGGACCGGGCCGATCGCCACGCAGGCACCTGTCGCCGCCGCCGCAGTACGGGTCGGAGAGACTGTGCGCCGCTCCCCGGGGACATCCGGCTCCCATCCGGCCCCGCCCGCCCTGCCCTGTCCTACCCACGGCTCAAAGGCTGGCCGCTTCGATTCGATAACGAGGGCCGGCCGAGCCAGCTCCGCCGGGTGGCGTAGGGGGTCTGGGGGCCAGGTTAGGCGTTCTTCCAGAGGTGGAAACCCGGGCTTCTAGTCTGGCTCTGTCCCAGCAACTTCTGTAGTCTTGGGCAAGTCATTTCCCGGCTTCTCCTCGGATTTTCCCACTTGCACAAGGAGAGGGAGGTTAGTCTGGCCTCTCGTGTGGGGCCCACCAGTCCCCATTTTTTGGTTTCTGGGCTTTTAGCAATGATTTTGAGCCCCTTGGCCTGGGAAGTTGGAGTCTCGCAAGGGGTTGGAGCAACAGCTATGAGGTGTGGAAAATCTGGGTCGGGGGAGCTAGAGTCACATTGGATCAAGTTCAGTTCCTCCTTATCTCTTTGGTGCTGACATCCTGAGGGTTCACTCCCTGCCATCTCCTTGGCCCATCTTGCAGTCTCCCCATTTCTGAACAGATTGCCTGAGAAGGACAAACACAGGGTCTGGTAGCCCTTGCCTGCTGGGGGTGCCAGGCCCTGCAGTTGGCCGCCTCTCCCAGACTTCAAAATCCCAAGGTCTCTTGTTTCAGTCAGCTGGGGGTGGGGTGGGTCTAAGTGGCCCTCAGATTAAATGGGAGTTCTTGGGTCATTAGCTACACCCAAACCTAGGACAGGCCGCCCCCTTTTCAGTGACTAAGAGTGTTAAGATCTGACTGGAGAGAGAAAGATTGCGCTAAACCCCCCACCCCCTGCTTGCAGAACCTAAAACTCAGACCTGGGGTCAGTTGAGTCCCTGTCCTTGATTCCCAGTGTCTTCTGTTCCATTCCCCCAGAACTGATGTCGATGCTAAGTCAGCCCCAGAGAGAAGGGCTAGTTGTAGGTCAGGGGTGGAAGGAAGGTTCCTTGGAAAACAGTAAAGAGCTCCCCAATTTCTCCTAAGGGTTAGGAGACATCATGAGGAGGGACCGTATCCCCACACATCTAGGCCGAGGAAGCCCCCAGAGGGATGGGAATGAGGGTCAGGAGTTGCTGGTCCCTTCCCACTCCGATTTGGAGGTTCCTGGGGGTGCTGGCTTTCCCCCCTACCTTCCCTCCACTTCACTGCCACCCCTCACCCAACTACCCGCAGGTTCCACAGGATCTGCTGAGTCTTGGCACAGAGAAAGGGAGGGGGAGGGGATGAGATGGCTCTGACAGAACCCAGGCAGGGCTGGGGAGAGGGCGGACTGCAGGCTGGATCTACGTGCAGCAACCCTTGGGCAAGAGGGTGGGGGGAGGCCCATGCATGGGTCCTGGGCTGGGTGTGTGCGGCTCCCATCCTGGCCTCCCTGACCAGGCTTCTGTCCTGGGCCCAGCCCTCTGCTCCTTGCCTGGCACTGATTGATCTGCCTGTCAGGGGCCTGGTCTGGCCCTGGCACATCTTCCCTCTGTCTTTGTGGGCATCCTCTCCCCTCCCCCAGTCATGGAAGTGGCTCAGAGCACTGCCCCCCTCCCTGGGATTCCAGACCCTAGGGCTGCAAGACAAAGGTCTCCCCTTGGAATGAACCCCGCCCCCCCCAACATACAGTGTTTCACCAGTGGACTGGGGTCTGCCCCTGTGACAGAGAGCCACTGTCTCTTCCCCTGCTTTCAGGGAGGGGGGACGGTGTCCGCAGACTTCCACCTCCCCATCCCCCCAAGACCCGCATTTCCTGGATGTGGCCGGGATCTGGCCTCTCCTCCCGGTTCCTCCTCCCCTGCCGACCCAGGGGTGGAGTCTCCAGGCGCCAGGCAGGCCTGCAGGTGCTGGGCTTGGGGAGGGGGGTGCTTAGCAGCTGGTGTTCGAAGCAGGGGGGGCACCCCTCCCCCTTCCTGCGCAAAGCCAGAGCCTGCTTCCTGTCATCCCTGTCAGCACCCTGGGCGGGGGAAGGGACAGGTAATGGAGGAAGTGGAAAAAAGGAAAGAGCACTTGGAGTGCGGCTGTAGGGGGAACAGGGAAATCATCGATGAGAAAGGGAGAGGAGAGAAGGATGCACAAGAAGAGATGGGGGAATCCAAGCAGGAACACCGAGGGACAGACTGTGGGTGCAGCCCAGAGGGCATGGAAGATTTCAGAGTCCAGAGAGGCTGTATCCACCACCACCCCCAACCCCAGACTTGTGAAAGTGAGAGCTGGAGAGAGACCAGAGACACAAAGAGGCAATGTGAGATAACAAGGGATGTACACTCCAGAGAGATGGAGGTATTTGAAGATGTTGGGTCAGAGGTCAGGGTAACCAGGGATGGAAGCTACTGTGTGTGTGCTGTGTGTGTGTGTGTGTGTGTGGAGGAAGGGGAGCTGTATGAAGACAACCTCCATCCCAAGCCATGTCATCGGGATGGGGAAATGCTACCCACAGCAAAGGAGAAAGAGGTGGCTTCTACCTGAGCTGCATCTGTGATCCAGGACTGGGAGCGGAGGTGACACTCCTATCTCGTGGACACCCGTAATGCCCCAGTAAAGGGCAGAAGGTGAAGAAGGGTAAAGCTCAGGCCACAGTGAGGAGTGAGGGGTGTGGATCTGACTTCATCTCTTCCCCCTTTCTCTCTCAGCTACCGCTGGATAGACAGCTGCAGCAGCTGCCTGGCCCCACTGCCCACGTGTGGATTCTGCCCAGCCCTGGAACTTCTGGGTGTGGAGGCCACCCAGGGTCTGTGTGAAGTGTGGGGACCCGGGAGTGGAGGCACTGGGTTGGGGAGGGTGGTGTTGTACACAAGCGCTAATCCCCAATCGGGCCAAGGCAGAACCAGAGCCTCACTGACCTTCTCGGAGATTAGTCCCCATGACAACAGTGGCAACTCGCCCCCTCATTCTGGCTAGGCCAGGTGTGTGTGTAAAGGGTGGGGGATGGCGGGGCAGGCAGAGGCTAGGGGAGGAGGGAAGGGAGTCTTCCTGAGGCATCACAGGATCACAGGAGTAAGGGTTGGGTGGCCCCTCCAGGATCAGCATTTAGCTTAGTTTTCAGGTACAAACCTGTGGCCCCAAAAAGGGGAATGACCTGCCCAAGACCACATACGGAGCCAGGATAAACGCTGGGACCACAAGTCAGGTCTCTGGTTCCAACTGCAGAGCAGAGGACTGAGCAAAACAAAAGAAATAGGGATACCCTCCCCCCCTCCCCCCACTGAGCTCATCATTAGAGTGGTTCTAATGGCGTGAAGCAGGGAGGCTCCCCATTCTGAGAGCCAGGCTGCTTTCTGCAGGGCATGTATTAGATGGGGGGGTATATATGGGATGGGGAGGGGGGATGCAGCTAGACTCGATGCCCTGACTCCTCCCCACAACCTAGCCCAGCCCCAGGAGCAGGGGCACGGATGGGGAGCAATAGGAGGACAGCAAAGCCAGTTATAACCACAGCCACCACAACAGTAACAGTGAACATTTATTTGATTCAGGTCAGTGCTGGGTTTTACATGCATTTAAATCTTCACAATTTTAAAGGGAAAATTTGAGAGGTACAAGTTCATCCAGCCTATTACGAGAGTTTGGATTTGAACCCAGGACGCAGCCCACACTCTTAACCCTTCAGTGTCTGTATGATCGTGACTGGGTGACTCTGATGACCGTGGAGTGGGTGGTGTGCACAATGAAGGTCCACGAGGCACCCAGCACAGTGGCTGAAACACAGTACATTTGACTAAATAGTTAAGGAATAAAGAAGCGAACAAACATCTGCCCGTAAATGAACATGACTGTTGAGGTGTTTGTTGAGCCTAGGAGAGACGGTTCACATGGGACGCATGTGGGATCCGTCTGTGTGAATGTGAGCACGTGTGTGCCCTCTCCCTTCAAGTCCCGCAGTTCTGCTTCTGGGTGAGTGGGTGGCGGTGAAAGCTGCTTCCCACCTCCCTGGATGGGGCCAGTTCTCCCATCCCTCCGAGGGGCAGAGAAGAGGTGCTCTGCTGATAAAGGGACCGGTGGAGGAGTCTGTGTGGGCGGGGCTCTCACCCCTTCCAGACCCACCTCTTTCAGGCCCAGCTGTCAGACCCAGCCTGAGCTGCGCTAGTCTCTCACCCGTGTTATCTCTGTCTCCCAGGAGACTAGCCCTCACAGCCCCGGGGAAGGTGCTCACTGCCTGTTCCCTGCTCCCTCCCGATCTTGGGTGGGGGTGGGGAGTGGAGGAGCGGGGCTGCAAAGGAGGGGCAGGCGACAGGACAGGGTGGGGGAAGGCACCCTTCACAGAATTTGCATCTGCAGTCACCAAAGCCCTGGCTGATTTGCCAGTGAAATGAAGGAAAGGGGTAGGAGCAGGCAGACTCGAGGACATTGGCCATCGGGCAGGGGCCCTCTAAACTGAAGTACTGTGAAGTTGGGCTGTTCCAGGGATGGGGCCCTACGTGAGGAGGGCGTCACTTCTCCTGGATGGAGACCTCCGTGAGAGTCCAGGAGTGCATTTGAGGGTTTCTTCATAGATCGAGATTTCCCCGTATGGGATGGGCATCGGAGTGGGATCCAGGGCCTCACTGAGGATACCGGACTGAGTCTTAGGGCTTCTCTGTGGGATCTTAGGGTGCTTCTGAGATGAGTGCTTTAGTAGATTCATGGAGAGGAGGAATCCTGAGGATGTCTCTGTGGGACCAAAGGTCCCTATATGAGATGAAGCACTGGATAGGGCGGCAAGTTCTCTTTGGGTAATGAGATCCCGATGAGATCTTGAGGTCTCTTGGATGTGCAGACCTGAGGACACTTTCTTTTTTTTTTGTCTTTCTAACTCCCTCCCCCACCCCTTCCCTTGAGAGGCTGTGGATGTGGAGGAGGTAGGGGTGATGGTGCTGAGCTGGCAAACAAAGCCACCTGTGCATCCATCCTTCAGGAAGCCCTGAGCACAACTGATGTGGGAAAACAAACAGGACCAGCTGCTGGGGGGCGGTAGGGGGCTAGGAGGGGAGTGGGTGGGGGAGGCTCTGGAGGCTGGAGGTGGATCAGCTGGTGGAGAAAGGAAGCAGGAAGTGGGTCCCCGGTACCGGAAAGGGACAGGGATCCCAGAGCCCCATTCTAGCACCCTGGGCAGGGCTGCCCGACAACCCCTTTTCCTCAGGGGCTC